TAGATATACAGCAAATTACAGCTTGCTTGCATTTAATTATGTGTTTTGTCATTGGAGTTAAATCTAAACAGAACTTGTAAAAACTAAAGATCTCTTGTCTGTTGCCTTTGCAGGTCCTACTCTTATAACCCCACCCAGACTTTATGTGACTGTCCAATCACAGACTTCCTAGTGCAGCTCAATGAGAATTTTTTACAAGGCAGGTGTTCTGAGAAATTGCTGCCTCTTGAGTTCAGTGCAAATAAGCTAACCAAACCAGGAAGTAACAGGACCTGGTGTCTGCTTGAAAAGCCAGAGAGGTGTAACCAATATAATTTATAAAAATGTAAATTTCTATAGAAATCTGCACTATTTCCAAAATGAAAAAAATAGGACACACTCTTCACACATAAAGCTTTTCAGCAAGCTAAAGTGCTCTAGGGGTCTGGAGTGTCCCTTTAACAATTTATGAATGATCATAATTCCCAATATAATTTGTATTTCCTTAATAACTTTGCAATATCTGATAACTTTGCTCTATCTCTAGTCTACAAAAATGATTCTACATTTCTTTTTCTACCAAGGGTACTGCAAGTCCTTACTGAGTGGTTAACGTGAATTTAGGCCGATGGGTAGGTTGTCCAAATTTTGTAGTTCAGAAGCTCTGTGACGGAACGCTGGCACTCCGACTGAGTACCTCCGCCAATCGATGCTCCTAGTGCTCGCTGAGGACTCCAAGCACTCCAACCGACACCATCAGCACTGCAGACCCCACTTCCAGCGATGTAACTGCGCCGGGGTCCCAAGGCCAGGATCCAGCTTCCAGTGGGTGAACCTCTCTTTCCCCAGAGAGCAGGAACAGGAACAAATCAAGTTATTGCAAGAGCTTCCTCTGGGGAGTAAGTGATTATAGCAATCCCCAGAGTGTAGGTATCCCTTCCCCCAAACATGAGCCAAGGCTTAATGCTGGAACAAGACTGATTTACTGGCACACAGAACTCACAATTTATGCAACACAAAACTCCTCCTCTGGGCCAGGCTAGATAATTGAGTTGCTACAATACACAAAGCTCAATTATCTGCTGGCCAGATATAATACAGTTTCATAAAACACACAGGGACCCCAAAACATGCAATAACCCCATAAAAAGTATATCCTTGGAACCGGGGGATCTGGGTGAACCACATATCCAAAATTCACCCAGATCCGTTCAGTACTTTGGAAGATACAGTTTAATGCAGATTCTGCAGAACATATACAGGCTAAATGAAAAACAATCACTGTATAATGTGTCCCCTGCTGTATAGTCCAAAACCACTGCACGATGTCTCTGTGCACCAAATACTGGCGAGATGGCACCGTGTTGAAAAGTCCAAACAGTGTCTGTGAGTTAAAATGGCTGCCATCCATTGTTCTCACCATGTGCTTCTGATACAGGAAATGGTGGCCACCCAGTAACTCCACAGTATGTCCCCAGATGGTTCTTAAAGGGCCAGCAGCAGCACAACACAAATCCATTATGCCCAAATCATGTCTTTAAAGGGCAATACATCCCAGGGGCCATAGTCACAGGGCAAGAGGCGGGCAAGCAGTCCTCTCCAGGCACAAGTGGCGAAGGGCACTTCGTCACAAGCTCCATATGGACGTATCATGAAAAAGCTACATGGAAAATGGCTGAAAAGTGTTTTTTTTCGTGATTCAATTCATGGCACCAAAAAAAAAAAAAAAGAGATGATAGATGATAAGGGATAAGGAAAAAAAAAAAATGGAAGAATTTACCATTCTATTCGGATGGAATTAGGTTGACTGACTTCTAACTGGAATTAGCTTGATTTAAAGGTTGTGAAAAATAAGAGATCAAAATATATATACTTATAAATATGATTGACACATTTGCAGTACAGTGATAGGCATAGGATTTCCCGAATCGTTTCAATGGACCATGTTTGGACAAGCCTAACAGCTGCAATTGTGACATTTGGTCGACTGAATTAAATTAATTTTTTTTAAAGAATTTTGACAATTTGAATTTTTCCGCTATGTACAAGTCTAATTTACAATAATATGGCGCACATCTGCTCATCCCATATGCTCTAGCATGTTGTTTGGTTACTCACAATACTGTATTTCAGCTAAAAGCTTTTTGCATTTCGTGCCCTGTCTTTGGAATGCCTTATAACTTAAGTCTCAGCATTCCACAACTTCAAAGCTATGTTAAAACATCTCTAAAATTAAGCAACATAATAATAAACTAATGGATTGGATTGAACTTTGTCATGTTCATAACTGCCATAAACTGCACTAACTTCATCCCTTGTTGCATGTATATTCTCACATCCCTCTGGGATTGTATGCTCTGTGGAGCAAGTGAAATCCTACAATACATATCTTACAATACAGTTTACCATGTAGCTGTATACATCCTAAAAATATAAAAAACAGTACATAGTATAGCCTGTATAGATCAAACGGATAATATGAGAGAAAAATAACCCAGTCATGTGGTACTGAGCCGTTTGGAAAGTGGCTCAGACTATTAGCGCCTTTCTCAATTTGTTGGAGATCCAATGCTTAAACCCAAATAGAGATGTCCTCTGTGGAATCTATGCTTCCTGAACAAACTTCAGATGAAGGGATGGATTCAGGAACAAATTTTTTTATTGGTACATATAAAAGTATAGCAAAAATAAATCTAAGATAAAAGTCCGTTGCACTGACGCGTTTCGACCTACATAGGTCTTTATCAAAGTGCTTGGCTTGCTTTCATACATGTGGACTTAAATAGCTTTCAAAAAAGGTGTTAATCCCCCTCGTATGTCTTCTGGTTTCCGCATACGTCACTTCCGTCGGGAGCACTTTCGGGTCAGCGGTCAATGCCTGTCTCCATAAGGTGACGTGTTTCCGGTTTCGGAGATGCACGTGATCTTCAAAATCAAGTTCTTAATGTGCATGTGCACCTCAAATGTAAACAAATGTCCGTGTTAGTTATATATAAACTTAATAAGCATTATCCTTATGTTCTTGTATCAACTGGAATTATTAAAAAAGGAGAAGAAAATGTCCTAGAATAACATAGTAGGCTCATTTCATATAAAAGAACAAATGTATCAAAACAATTGCAAAATACAATATTAAAATATACTCAATTAATATAGAGCAGAAAGGGAAGGAAAACGGGGTGGGGGGGGAGAAATGGATCAGATGGATATGAAACAGTACATATATAATATATACATATAACTCTATACAGACAATATATAAAAAATAAATCACTAAATATATAAAATAGACAAAATATGCAATTAATTTATTAAAAAAATGTACAATCATAAAAAAGAGGTGACCTCAAAGTCTATATTTAAACCATCCGGGGTTGGGGTGTTGAGGTTAAACATCCACCTCATTTCTGCTTTACTTAGAATTTTGTCCTTACACCCACCCCTCCAATGAACTTTAATTTTCTCTATGCCTAAAAAAATTAAACCTTCAGACAGTGGCGGATCCAGAGCCTGATCTCGGGAGGGGCACTTGTAGATTATTTAAAGAAATAATCCAGACACAATAACAACTACAGCTCAGTGTAGTGGTTATGGTGTCAATAGTGCCGGGACCCCCTCCCAGAGTAAGTAGTCAAACCGTTTAAGAACAGTTTGACAACTTACCTGAGGTCTTCTGGGAAATGGGGCAGTAGTAGGGCATAGGAGCAGTGGTGTGTGTGAGTGGTGCAGTGTGTGTGTGTGTGAGGGGGACAGTGTGTGAGCAGTGTGTGTGTGAGGGCAGCAGTGTATGTGTGACAGTATGTGTGTGTAACAGTTGCAGTGTGTGTGTGAGTATTGCAGTGTATGTGTGTGTATGGGGCAGCAGTGTATGGGGGCAGTGTGTGTGTATCGGGTAGTGTACGTGTGTAGAGTGTGTGTAGGGGGGCAGTGTGTGTGCAGGGGGCAGTGTATGTGTGTAGAGTGTGTGTATGGGGGACAGTGTGTGTATCGGGTAGTGTATGT